AATTTTCAGGGTGGCAACTGTTTCTCTACAGCTAGAGCTTTTCGTCCAGTCTAAATGCAGTAGCATTCAGCTTCTGACCCAACGATCAGCTAACAAGAAGCACCAAATACATTAATGTATGTTCTCAAGTCCCTACATTCATGATGTTACCAGTGTTATCAAATACTACTGTAGTGCTATCAAAGTAACTAAGGACAGACAGCAGCCGATGATGTTTCATGTGGAAACAGTGAAGGAGAACACATCCTCACACAAAAATACTCCGGTGACACAAGCAGTCTGACTCGTTCCCTCTCCACATGCTCCCCAGTTCTGCCTGAAAAGCCATTTCCTTTACAGAAGCTGTTTCTCTTTGGTTGTTTAGCCATAGTCAAGTGTGCGGAGAACCTCTCCTTCACTCCCTTCCAGGATGTTGGTGGGGACTATATCTGCCTTCACAGTGGGACTTAGACAATGCCTTTAGTCCTACGAAGGATCTCAAAAATCACACATAATAAAGCACTGAGTATGAACCATAAAGGACGATTATCATTGTGTTAATTTGAAATAAATCAACCAGATTTTCATAATTTTAGCTTTAGAGATTGATTTTATAAGTATAAATAATATAGTAACATACATAATTGTCAATTAGCCATTTTTAGCAGAAGAAATACAGAACGGATAAATAGGGACATTGTATAGAATACATAAAATATATTAATATATTAATAAAGTATATTAACATTGATTTATGCTATTATGTATTAGTTTACACAATACAGTTTTATACAATTATTTATGAGTATTTTAAACTGTAGTAAAAATAAATGCTGATGTAAAGCTAAGATGGAAATAGCTAGGACTTCAACTCTGCAAATTCCAACAGTTATTTCCCACAACACTAAGCTTATCCACAACTTAACTCTTTTATGGTGTGACATTTTTAACTTCCCATTAAATAAAGCACCATGATTGTAACTTAGAAAGAAACAGAAATAAAAATGCTACTGAAGTACTGTATGAGTGAGTTAACAGTATTGCAAGAACTCTGGCTTCTGGAATTTCCTGAGTTTTGAGTGCCTGACTTTTTGACTTGGTACTGCACCAAAACTAAAAATTTATTTTTAAAGAAAGAAGGGGGAAAAAACCTTACTTTGTTTGGGATTTTTCTACATGCTTTTGACTTCCTTAGCACATCTTAGAAATTTCCTAAGCACAACCTTACACCTCTTTGTCTAACATCAACTAAACAGAGAGATAAACTTAAGAAGGAGGACTCCATAAAAAATAAACTGTCATATGACTTACTGCAGAGCAGTGTGCTCCAGTTAGTTAGATCCACTACTTTTTACCTACTTCGTCTACTACTATATCTAATCCTCACAAATTAGGGCATGCCAATCTGCTCTCTAAACCTTAGTAGCTCCTTGCTTTCATAAAATTAAGACTTAATTAAAAAATGCCTTTAGAAATGGGATATACAAAACTGGATGTATGGCTATGTGGATCTGGACAAGGCATTTATACTTGCCATACTGACCTTCCCATTCACTCTTGCTCCTCTTGTCTGTTTAGGCATAAGCTTTTCACAACAAGATCTCTATGTATACTTCTGATTAATGCCAGCATCAAGGCCATCTCAAAGTTGGTCCGTAGACCATAGGTGTCATAATCTCCTGAAACTCAAGCCCTACCAGCTGTTTTTCTGATCCTAGCAGCTTTGCTGACTTTAGAAATACTAAAAGGAAGCCCATGCAAGCCTCAAGTAGTGTTGTCGCTTCCTTTGATTAAAAGAAGCTCCAATGCAGACTATTACAGTGCAAGACCAAAAAAAAAAAAAAGAAAAATAATCTTACAGCCAGACTAATACTTGTCAGGACACACTGTTGTGTCTCATTAAGGACAGTATCAGTGTGGGCACAGCTTACGTGCTTGTCATGCACCTTACAGAAAGGACTCCTAACTTCTGCAGTGCAACAATATAAACCACGAAACAGGGTCACACTCAGAAGTGAAGCTTTTTTTTTGGTATGGATTAATTGAAAACACAAAACCTGCTTGCCTTCCTTCTTTAAATGTTTTTTTATCATTATTAAATGGCTTCTGTCAAGCCTCAGGCATATACGTCTCAGACAGGCAACGAAAGAAAACTATCATTGTAACTGTTATTTCCAGATAGATGTGAGACAATGTGTTGAACACCTTCTAAACTAAGATACCAGAGGCTTCTCTCCTTGAACAGCATCAGACTCCTTATGGCAATACTGCGTCATCCTCAGATGTGCTTTGTTTTACTGACACAGGAGACATAAACCAGTCTAGAAATGGTCTTAGAATCAATGTTTATTGTGCAGGTCCCACATACAAAGATATGATATGAAATATAACTGATGCGTGATATGAGAACAAATAGTAAATGAAAACCAGAACATTGCTTGTGTTTCCAATCCAAACAGTGTCCAGAAGTACCAGAGCAAAGAAAATAAGCCAGGCTGAAAAGAAACTTTACAAGCACCACACAAAAGCTATCCTGCACAAAGAGCCATATACAGCATATGTGCTTCTAAATCTCATCCTACTTTGAGGAATTTAATCATGGATAAGCCTTTTGCTGCCACCTGTACAGAAAGCGATGTTGCATGGAGTACTTGAGGGCAGTGAAAATAAATAGGCTATCAAACAGTTGAACTAACAGACATGAATTAAATTTGGGATCCAAACTTCTCCGCAGTAAAAGTTTTATCCATGTTCACTCCTGCAGATCACAAGTTTAATTGCTGTTCAGTGACATTCATTTTAATGTCAAATATTATTTCAACTTTGCCCTCTTATTTATCCAGTGTAGAAACTACACACAAGCATAAACAGCAGGTACCAGAGAACCAACCTGTGGTACACCAAAGCAGTTGTTTCAGGAGTTCTTGAGAGACTGCTAGTCTGATGAGGATGCTCATCACATCCATCTTGCACTGAAATCACAAATATTTTGTTTGTGAAAACTAGTGTTTTCCTGCACATCTCAAGGCATGCCAAAGTGTAGCCCTGGAGGACCACTGACACCTGGTGGTCATTTCAGTCCTTCCCAACAGTACCTGCAGCTCCTTGCAGGCAACGAGCGCTAGCTGAAGTGCAGAGATCATTGAGGCTTGGGAGGAAGAAAAACCGCTTCATCAATAACTAGCCTGTATCACAGCACACAGGGCTGCTAGTGTCAACTAAACCGGCCTGCCTCTGGGAGTATAAGTGTTCTTATCTAGAACTAAAACATTTAAAAAAAAAAAAAAAGGAGAGAGAAAGGAAAAGTAAAATAGAAATTAATTTTAAAGAAAGCTAAGTCACGTATATTGAAATTTACCATGACTTCGTCAGATTATATTTTACAGATGGCCTGTCAGAAATACATGCCAGGGAAGCATTAAGTTACAGGCCTTACTCTGTGTTTATTAACTTAGTGGAATTCATTGGCTAAAAGTAAATGCAGATGAACTGCAATACACAAACAACAAATTCAGTTAAAGCTGCCAGCACATTAATAGTATTGTTGGATTAAACTTACTCTAGAGATAATAAAGCTCATCTAAATAGAGCACATTTAATTCAACAAGTTCTTGAGAACAACTGGGTCATGAAATAGAATTATATAAAAACGTCTTTTTTACAAATAAAAAAAGCATTGTTTCCTAGGTAAGATGTTTCTTATTACTGAAAAGGAGCGATGAGATTTAGGTCTTCTTTCGCTAGACAACTAGCACAATATTAAGTTATAAGCAGGAGTATTCAACAATTTTATCCATTTTGGTGTCTGTTGCACAGTGAGACTGCCAAGACAAAAACTGCCTCAGCTCTCTCCACCAAACTTGAGAGCAGATCTTCTTGGTGCTCAAAGCAATTGTGCAGAGACCACAGCCACCAGCACTGGATCAAACTAAAACATACTTAGGCCTTGTCGCACTGGCTGTTGATAGGCAAACACTTAAAGCTATGCTTTGCTTTTTATCTAGAGCATGTAAACAAAATTCTGAGGCTTTCAGACATTCATCAAGAATACAAAAATCTTACTAAACTGTCATGAAAGTTTGCAGCCCTTCCTGACTGCTTCCTTGCTGAAAAATGTTTCAAAGTCTACCTTCAGGTAAATGCGCATTTCTCATTGAAACAGGAGCTCAGCTCAAACCTAATAAAACTCTTGCATATGCGGAGTAGTGGGAAGTAATCAAAATGTTTTTCTATACCTTTCCTGCAAGCTACATGAGTGCAGCTTTGCAAATCTGCAGTACAAATCACCTGTCTCCAAACTGACCTGTATTTTTCACCTACCACCAATATGACACCTCTCCACAAGTAAACAGATCGCTAAATTACTATTTCACCTTCAATCTAGGCTACCCAACCAGATTGAAAGACAATGAAGTATTTTAAATTACTTTTACAAAATGCATTGTTGTGCATACATTTTCTCATTGGCTGTGGCACACTGTGGGCAAACCTTTAATAGAGGCACATGCAATTGCTAACATAGCCAAGTACTGTGCAAAAAAATAGCCAGTGCTGAGAGTGGAAACAAGAAAGGGTACATGGGACACAAATATGGAGACAACGTTATCGAGCCATCCCAATGAAAGCAGGAAATGTGCATCAAGAGAGTTTGGTTTGACTCAGCCAGCCCTGTGCCTGAGCTGGGAACCTGGCTGGGCCAAAGGCTACCCAAAAGGTTTTCAAAAGACAAGCATCAGTTTTTTCACTCCCATTTGTACTTTGGCAGAAGTCTAGCATCTGTTGACTGCTGATGCCTCTGGAGAATTTCACTCATGTGGCCCACAAATCACTGGTGTTCATATGTGTCTCAGATCTCTTCCTGTACAACTGCATGAACGTACAGTGGCAAAAGTGGCTCCACAAGACTACCTTTTAACACATTCCTAAGGGTCCAGCTGCAAATCAATAGACATTAATCAGTACAGAGACACTCACTCCCGTACACAACAGGTCTATGTTCCGCTTAAATCCTACTCCGAGCATTTAAAGTGCTATTTTCAGTATATCAACAATGCTGGTTTCTGCAGAGTAATGCATTTCACCCACAGTGAAGAGCTATCACATTGCTGCGTATCTATTAAATAAAAGCATTATAATTAGGTCAGCTACTGGGTAAAGGAGACAATAACCATTTTAACAAAGCACTGTCACAGCCCTTATAGCTCCTCATCTGAAAACAAAGTCTCTTCTTTCTTTTGTTGTCCCCCTAACATTATTTTCCACAAATATCTTGGCATTGCCAATCCAATTATACAACAGCAGCAGACAATTACTGTGTGACAATGTCCTAATTCACAGACATAACCTTTCTTCTACTTTTATATTTTACTGGGGATATTTTCCTGGAGGGTAGAGATGGCCTCCACTCACCACCAGGGACAGACATGTCTAAAAATAATTTTGCTTGGTTCTAATTGATAACATCATGTTGGCAAACCTCTTGCGAAGACACATGAAAGCAAGATAACCCACTCCCACCAGCATGCTGACCAGCAGGGTGGTGCCAAGAACCCTGGGCGCCCTCTTCTTGGCCACACGGAATGCCGTTGGCAGAACGGCTGAGATTAATATATTGTTGACGTGTCCTAAAACTTTGTAAAATGCTTTTCTCTTCAGGACACGCTCATAATAGGCTTCCAAGTTGGGCCGCTTTCCATTTCCCCAGTTTCTTCTTGCTAATCCCAGAAACTTCAGGCGATGTAATGTGACAGCAAGTGATACATCTGCCAGACTGAAGAAATCACCACAGAGCCAAGGCTGATTTTCATCTTCTAAGCAGAGATAAAACATAAAGAATTAGGAGCTAATGGAATACAAGCATACTTAGAAGCCTCCATGGGCTAACGTTTAGTTTAGTGCTATTTCAAAATGCTGTCTAATTAACACTACCAACACTTCAGCTAAAATATGACTTTAATCAATGAACATTTTAGGACATGGACGTGCTGGACTGTGTCCAGAGGAGAGCCACAAGGATGATCCGAGGGCTGGAACACCTCTCCTATAAGGAGAGGCTGAGAGAGTTGGGGCTGTTCAGACTGGAGAAAAGAAGGCTCCAAGGAAATCTTATTGCCACCTTCCAGTACCTAAAGGGGGCCTACAGGAGAGCTGGGGAAGGACTTTTTACTAGGGCATGTAGTGATAGGGCGGGGGGGAATGGCTCTAAACTGGAAGAGGGCAGGTTTAGATTAAAGATTAGGAAGAAATTTTTTACTTTGAGGGTTGTAAGGCACTGGAACAGGTTGCCCAGAGAGGTTGTTGAGGCCCCATCCCTGGAGGTGTTCAAGGCCAGGCTGGACGTGGCCTTGGGCAACCTGGTCTAGTGGGAGGTGTCCCTGCCCATGGCAGGGTGGTTGGAACTCGATGATCTTCAAGGTCCTTTCCAACCTAAACCATTCTATGATTCTATGATTTCACCCTGTCTATTCTTCACACAATATTGTAAAGTCTTAAGCTCAGCAGCCTGGCCTACATTTGTTAAGGAAAAAAGAGCCACATTTCAGGTCCAAAATACGAAAACTCACAGTAAACACTTATTTTCCTCAATTACATTTCTCAAATCTGGATTAAACAGAAGTGGGAGGGAGGAAGTCAGTTTAGCTTTTACTGAAAAGCTAACACTTGCCTGAAGAATTTATCATCTTGCTTGTGTCACTCAGCCGTATGGCATTGACTCAAGAACTGCTAATTTGCTGGAGACTTTCAAGTCAAAAAGAAACGGCTGAGATGGCTGACCTGCACCAAACGCAGCAGCTCAACAAGATGATGGTTTGTCTACCCATCTTTCCTTTGTGCCTGCTAGACCCCAAAGCCTGGGGTTTTCACACTGAGAAGTTTGAGAAGCAATGGACATTCACACTGCCCACCGCTGGTCAGGATCACAGATGGAGACCCCAAATCCCCTCTCCAGTCAAAGGAAAGAGGTGAATCTTCCTGAGATGGCTCAGAGCAGGCACTGCCAGGCAGCATCACACATCTAACTTCAGTGATCTGACCCATCACCACCTGAAAGGGCTGACCTGTGCTGACTCCACCAAAAGCTTTTGAAACCCAGGATATGAAATTTGGTAGTTAGCTTAGCTACCGGCATGATCTAGCCGGAGTCTAGATCTTAAACAGGACTATGCCGTTTCCTCCTCATTTGCAACCTTTTGCACTTCTTCCCACACAACAGGCACACAAAACTACTGGCATGAATGTTCAGCAGCACCTCTGTGGAAACAGAGACATTCTGCAATGTCCTTTTCAACTCATTTGCCACCAAAGGAAAGCAATAGTTTGGTATACCACTGGTACCAGTCCATTTCAACCGGTTGTGCAGGTCTAGAAGAAACACCTCCATTGAGAGTGAGCATATCCTATGTTGCTGAAAGGACACCTGGGGATTTACCCAGTGCATTCAGTAAGATGACAGAAAGAAAAAACAACAAAGCTAACCTGTGTGACAGAAAGATGCCTGCAGTGGCAGCCACAGTAAGTGAATGAGGAATTTGAGCAGTAGCAAGAAATGCAGAAGCTCACAGATTGACCAGGACCTGGAGAAGCATTGGTCACAAACCTCAAAAATGTGAATACATACCTCTGACAAAATTCCATGAGGCATCTAACAGTCCTATGTTTTATGAAATTCTGTGATCTTGGCAGTTTTCCTAAGCTCATCAATGCTGTATCAGTTGACTTCTTGAAAAGGTTATTTAGCAGAGAAAGCAAAGGGACTGCTAGAAACGGTGACAGACTCAGTTTGCTGAACAAAATCCTACCAAACTTTGTGAGATAAAACATTTTCTATGACTCTTTTGCTGTTGAGTCAGTAGAAAATTTAATCTGGGTTTTCAATTGCTGGTTCAAATCTACTGTCTTGGTAGTAACTGATAATTATTACAATAGCTATTTATAGAGCCAAATGCAAAGGGTTATTGATCTGAGTTGATCTGCAGTTGGTACTGACTGACACTTCATGCAGCTCCCAGTGAAGTCAGAGGAAGGATTCCTGTTAGCACCCCTGGAAGTTAGACCAGTCTCTGAATAAGCAGAAGACTAATCCCATTTAAACAAAATTCAACTTTCATTTGGGTGGACGTCAGGTAGACACCACTGCTTTCCAAGACGGTGGGGGAAGAGAGTTGCTTAATGATTAGAGCACATATCCAGATTGATAATTCTGCATATAGCACAAATATCAGCACAGTATTTAAACAAGATTGTAATAAATCTGCGCTACATTATGGTCATGATACATTATAGTGAACTGAGGCCTACAACTACAACAATGAGATTAGCATTCTGTAGTTGTTTTTTCTTATTTTGTTGATAAAGTACTGCAAAATTCTGCAGCTAAGTATACTCGCTATGCTTAAAATGTGATCAAGCACTCTCATAAGACAGTTAGAACTCATTGAGAGCAGCGGTAAACTAAACTAATATTTAAAACAGTATTGATCCCGTATGTCATGTTAGATCAGTATATGCTAAAAGTATCAAATCGGATACATTAAAACCAGTCCTATAATGGTGCTGTCAACAAGTGTACTCAGTCTCCCTGAACATAAGCAGCAACAGGATTTAGCAAGAGTAATTCCTTACCTGGTGTTTCCTCATTTCGCCGCTGCAATTCAGTCTCCACCTGATCCAAAACTTTTTCCAGTTCATCCAGTATTTTCTTTAGGTATTTTATATTATCATGATCCAGCAGTTTAGACTAAATATATACACAGGTTAGCGTTTTAATCATTGCACAGAGTTTATACTTTTATCAGAGAAACTTTTACTTAGCTACTACAGTGCTTATTCATAAAATGTGACTATTTTCTCCACATGGTCAGCTGGATACTATTTGGATACTGGTGACAATTCGGATAACAGAAGAAAAACTTTAGAGATGCCAGATATCGATGTTTGCCTCACCCTGCAGGGTACTCAACATCCCAACACCAGCACTGATGTGTACTTACCTTTGAAGTCAGTGTGACCAGTCCAATACTTCAGCACACACTTGAAGTGTGTAGCTGATTTGGGGCACAGACTGCTTCATGCCTTGTAGGGTTAAACCACTGCATGACATTACTGGTAATGACAGGTGAAACAAATGTTTATATTATGTCAGAAAAAATCTGACACTAACAAGCTCATAATAAAGGCGCGGGGGGAATAAAAAGGGTTTTCTTACTTTAAGGCGCTTCTGTTTTGCTATATAGGCATCTTGAAGGTCTGGATTTTCTTCTGCAAGTTTTTTCAACTCTGATTCTGTGTTACTTATTTGGCCTGATACAAAAAAAAAAAAACAAAACAAACAAAACAACAAAGGAATGACATTAGATATCCATATGTACCGGTAATGCCATCCACAGGAACTGATCAATAGCTTGTGTACAAATATCACACTGAAGAAACGGGAAGTAGTACTTCAGTGAAGCATCACCACCAAGTTGGAATTAAAAAATGTCACGTTTCTGAAAACTTAACTGCTGCATAAAGTGACCCACCACACCTTCTGCTCATCCGTTTGCAATGAACACTATGAAGTGGTGATCTCCCAGGCAAGAATGAGGAATTCTTGTTAATATTTTTCTCTTATTCAGATAAAAACATTCTACTGCCAAAAACGGTGCTAAATCCATGAAATTCTACAACAAATACCTTAGGTTACTAACTTCCTGGGTTCCTAACATACTTTTCATGCTGTAAAAGTGCAGATAGGCCAATACTGAGATTTTCTGTAGGTGGCTGTAGGTCACGTGCATAATTCCACAGAAAAAGCCTAAAGACCGCTGAATACAGAACCCAGGTGTTTTCCATTCCCTAAAATGTGACACCAAAATCTGTTATCACTTTTGGAAATGTTCATTACAAAGTACATGGATGTTCTAGAAAAACATCCTTTACATGACTTAAAGAAGGAATAATGTGAAAACTTTAAGATAATTTCAGTGATTTCTACTACATGTGTACAGCCTTCAGCCTCCTTAAAATGGGGCTTTGCTTGAAAATGCCATAGTTACATACCTAGAGTACCAAAGGACAGTGAATAATAGGTTATCTATACTTCTAGTAATAAGCTGAGAACAAAAGAATAATTATAGGGCATGAATCATCTCTCACTTGTACTTCATAATTAAGTTTAGTTCCAATTAAGTCTTACAAATTAAACTGATAAAAAATTCTTGCTAGAGAATAGTGAACTCACTGGTTTATATATTCTTTGTTTCAACCTGACATGACTGTGAAAGCCATCTTTCAACACAGTATATGGAGAAATTGAAGGATAAAATCACACAACTAAAATCTTATATATGCAATTAATTTCTTAACTGGATTTGGTATGCATAAACATAATACATAACTGGCTACTACATAATCTAGCACTTTGAAAAAGATCAACTTTTCAAAGCGGAAAACTAAACCATCTGGGAGAAGTTTGAACAAGCAAAGGAATTGTTTAAGAACATCCACAAGCTATTCAAAAAACATGCCTCAAATCAAGAAAGCAGGCTGCTTTTAAGTATAAAAAGATAAGAAAATGTACCAATTTAGACAAGTAGTAATTTTAGCTCTACCAATATGAATGCGTGTGTGTAAACTGACAACAATTAAAACCGATTGAAAGCTAGAGGGGAAGAACACGTACAGCCAGCAGAACACAAGACAACGTTGTAAAGTGAACTGGAATAAAAGCACTATTACCACATGAAAACAGAAAAACTGTCAATAATGCCTACAAGTAAAGTACAATTTTTAAATCAACAGTTACCATCCACATTTGGAAAAAAAAAAAAAACAAACCAACAAAAAACCACCAGACTGATAGAAGATAATAATTCGTGTAAATTCAGTAAAAAAAAAAAAAAAAGAGAATGCTAACTAATCTTACTGAAATTACCCATTCTAAATCTCTCCTGGTAAATTTTCTGTAAAAAGTATTTTTAAATAACCACTGATGATTGGACCAGACCTGATTTCTAAATACTCTGCAATGCTCCAGAAGTTTCCAACAGACAGAAAGAAAACTAATTCTCTGCTGATGTTTTATAAAGGATAACTCATGCAACTATAAGGAAAACTAACTGCCTGACTTCACTTCTGACAACATAACAGAGTGGCTAATCAGAGAACTGACTTGCCAAAATTTTTAAGAAGGATAAGACAGTTTGTTGGAAATAGAACTTCTCAAACTAAGACAGTATCATCTTTTATCATACTATGAATTTGGTAATAGTGTAGTTGTATTATGTTTCAAAGTCTCTGCAGTATTTGGCATTGTTCTACAGAGCATTCTAAAATATAAAAAAAAAAATCAACATGATATAAAGCACTGACATTGACAAAAAAATCAGAGAACTCAGAACAGAACTAAATGGGGAATCATCATCAAGCCATGTTCTCAGGATGTGATCCTTGTCCTAGAACTATTTAGCTCTTTCATAATATTTAAAAGGAAACGAAAAAAAAAGCATTCATTAAAGTTTTCCATGGCACAAAGACTAGAAGGGACCTAAATCAAGAAAAACCGTGGCAGTGATACCCAGTGGTCTGGACGGGTTGAGAAACTGGGCCTAAGCAACTAATCGATGTTTCAACACAGTCCAATGTAAAATATAAATTGAAGCAAAAGATACAGTCCAGAAAAGATACAGGCCATGTTTCTTGGCGAGAGAGCTGTAAGTTTGCAAGCAGTTCTGAAAAGCTAAACTGAGGTCATGATCCACAACCAGCTGAAGAAGGATTCCCAGTGCGGTTCCGCAGCTGAAAGTAATGCTGGAGTCCTTGAACATACATACAGTAAAAAAAAACAAGAATAAAGAATTAAATATTTATCTCCCTATCTGACACCAGAGTGAACAGAATCTGTTGTCCGGTTCTGGCATCCAAACCCGGGGGGGGAGAAAAAAAAAAAAATAGAGAGAGAGGTATGAGAACTGAAGGATTATTTGCCAAGGATTTTTCTGAATATCACCGAATGTTGTTTAACCTAAGTATTTCTGCAAACTACTGGATTTGAAACAGGAGTTCATTTCAGGAGGTTCTCTGTTATAAAGGGGACTGGGCAATGTAACCTACAGTTATTTCCTCTGCCCTTAACACATTTTTTTTTCGTGGGGAAAATGGTATGTATATAAAAGTCCATCGGGTAAAATACCGATCCCAAAGAAGTTGAAGGACATTTTACCATTGATTCTACCAGATCACCGGTTCTTCCTTTATCCTGATTCTATATTGTTGCATTATTTGCACCCAGGATTCTGGTTTAAATTGTGCTTTAAAATTAAATTTCCATTGGTCAGATGAACACAAGCTACTTACTTCTTCACAATTTTTTTTTCTCCCTAACCCTAGCACCAAGTCGACACTAGTACATTCCTCGTACAAAAAGCGCCTGATTATTCTTTTGTAATACATTAGATAAACAGACTCTGTTTCATGGAGGCTAATCTGCATTTGTACCACTTTGAGAGGAAAGCAATTGCTTTAATTTAAAACATAAACTTATTACAAATTTACAATGGCAAAAAATGGGTTTCCTTCAGTGTAGTGGTTCAATGTGAGCAGCAATAGCACCGTTCCCCAGAAATTGCTTTATATGCATAGACAGCTAGATCAGAAATTAAAATATTCACAGCTGTCACAGCTGCCATTTTCTGTCATGCACAAGAAGCACGTTTTCAATCATTAGGAAACTTAATTCCACAGACACCTCCAAAACAACACTTCCTCTTTCCCGTTTTCAAATCATAACAGACTACAAAATCAATAGAAAGTATATGCATAAATTATGAAGGACTGCAACTAAAACTGGAAATCTGTGCTCGATATGTTCTGCTTAAGGTGCACTGAAGACACAAGACAGAGGTAATGCAACATCCTATCAACTGATTGGCATTCAGAGCTATACCAGTACATACTACGAATCCTGCTGGTAGCATAGGCTGGAATCATGGAGTCCACTGTTAACTCGGGATGCAGGATGCAGCCATGCGTGTAGGCATCCATAGGCAAGGAGTCTAAAAGCTCTCGATAGTGTTGCACTCTTGGGTAATACATGCTTCCTTCTTCTGGCATTAATCTCGGTACTTCCTCTGCAATACAAAGTTAAAAACAGAGTCAAGAAAAGAAGAACCATGTAATTGATCAAGAGCAGTATTTCCAAAGTTACTTCGGTTATGTCCAGCTGGCACAGACCACACAGCCACAGTTAAGAAAGTTTCACTGTTCCCCAATGTTAACAGTGTTATTGCAGCTCAGCAAAACACATATGTACGTACTGCATTTTAAAATGTTTGAATAATTCCAATTCCCATGCAGCAGCCCACGTAAACACGTATTTAAGAGGCCTTCAAATCAGAGAAGCGGATTCGGCATCTAGTTTGTGCTTCTAGGGAGAGGAGATGGCGGCACACAACCCTTCAGCTCTCTCACAGTAGGGCACAATGGAGACCGCAGTAAGTCGTTACGGCTGAAACAGTACTACAGCTGTAATGCTGTAAAAATTACAGTACAGGAATCCTACTCCAAGCATGGTTAGAAGTATTCCTGCACACCACAGAGTTTTACCCTGCCCTCTATCTGCCTGGACCCTGACTCTTCATTTGACCAACACACCAGTGTTAAATACATATTATGTTCTTCTAACAATGAAGTTTTCTCCATGGCTTAGAAATCACTGCACTAAACCCCTGACACACAGAACACTGCCTCTTCACACCTAAAAAAAAAATATAACTGCATTTTCTTCAAAAATTGAGGCAGTCTATTTTCTGGCAATACAGACACAAGGAATTTCAAAAGCCTGCATGTGATCACTTCTGAGTTTTTTCTTCCTACCTTTTTACCTTTTCGTTCTGTTTTGGCTCAAAAAAAAATCAACTCATTCTACTTCCTCTCCCCAGCCCCTGAGATTATTCTAGAACTAAGCAGTAACACGCGGCTTTCTTTTTTGTCACCGAGAAGCAGGAGCTGCCCAACAAGAGCAGAAGCTGTGCAGCGCTGTGTTCAACACACAATTTTTTGCAGAGATCTCACCAGAGGGTTAGCACAGGGCAGCGCTGCTATTACCCACTTCTCCATCCTTCCCGAAGGGGTAAGGAGGACAGTGGTGGCTTTTTACGTATAGCTGCTTGTCAAGGTGCTGGAAAGCCTTCAGTTCATTTTAAAGGAATGTGTTTTCACCCCATACCACCAACCATTAGGAGAGCCTATTTATTTTTGAGATTATAAATGCCTTCTGGTCCTGAGAGAACCAATACGGAGCTGACCCCAACACTGCTGCACATGACGGGAACGCGGGGAAGGCTTTCACACCGAAACACTTCTGGGATTACCATCTACGAACGTTGCTTCGAGGTAATCGATAATCTGCGTTGCCTCACAGATGATGTTTTCCCCATGGATCAGGACAGGTACTTCTCCCGAGGAATTTAAGCGCATGAACCACGGCTCGTTGTGCTCGCTCAGCGGCAGGTTCACATCGTGCTCTTCGCATGTCAGGGCTTTTTCGGCTATGGCCAAGCGCACCTGCAACGATACCATGGTGTGGGGGTGTGTGGGTGTGGGTGTGGGTGTGTGTGTGTTACCCCAGGAGAAGCACTCCCCGGACAGATGTCCCCGGGGCTGCGGCGCCAACCCG